ATAAAGGATAAAGCATTTGCCGTTGATCAATCCCTTTTTGGGATGCGGCACGCATTCTACTTCCATTTGTACATTCGTAGTGGCGTTTGAATGCGATGTGGCCTATACAATGACTTGCGGGGGCCAGCCGATGTACAAGTCAGTGTTTTTATCCTCCCAGACAAGTCTGGTACCAATTAACCGACCCCGGAGGGATGGAAGGCTTGGTTGGCCCGGGCGACTCACGACCCAGGATTTGATCCCTGGACCGCTCGCGTGGTAAGCGTGCCACTTGCCACTACACCACTTCCCCCTTGACTGTGAAGAGAATTAGATTTTGGGGTCATCCGGACTTGAAAAGGATGGAGAGTGAAAAACGTCTAGAAATCAATTTGTACAGTAGAATTTTTTTGCAGTTCAAACCCCTCCTTTTGTCTGAAGGCTGTAAGAAACCGAAGAAGCCTCGATAGGTAATCAATCGTCAAACTAATCATGCAAAATTCTGATTATTTTGTCGCTAGGATAAATGCGACACTCGAAAGTTTTATGTAAAATATCTCATATTGAGCATACCAGTCAACCACCCTTGACCTAGATATTGTGAAGTCTGCTGAATTATAATTAATAAATAATTGCTAAGGTGTCAAAATTATTTCAAATACGCAAATAAAAAAATTTCAAGATGGCATCCCACCATTGACTGCCACTGTCCTTCGCGACGGATAGAATGGCACCTACGATGGGTGCCATAATCGTCAAAGAGTTAATAGGGATTTGAGTAGAATGCGCTACGCGCTAGTCAATCTCTCGGAATGCGCCATGCACTCGAAAAACATTTCAAACCGACACCGACTCATATAATTGAGAAGAACACAGGTAGAATCAGAGCACATTTTTCTTAGTAGCGCACCTTCTGATGATCCTTAGACTCCAACAATTTTGAAATATAGCTGCCATTGTGGGCGCTATCGCAAAATACGGAGGCATTATGGTGGCAGTGCATTCGAAGGGACGTAAGGCTTTTTATTTTTTGTTAGAAATGGTACTATGCCTCAGGTGGGAGATGAAAGACTCTAGAGTGCGTGAGCGATTATCATTTCCTCCAAAATTCCTGCCTCTTTCTAGGCTTAGCCTGAAAGGTGCCCCCGTATCTTGCGATAGCTCCTCATTGTGTTTTAAATGGTTGTCATCACTACATGGAGTACTTTAGAAAATTGGTTGAAGCTTGACGCCGGCTTGATGTGATCGTCAGAGCATGTGCGTAATACTGTGCCCTTCGATACTTCATCTTCATCCCTATTCAAATTCAATTTGGACAAAATTGAAATTAAATTTGGATTACAGCCAAAAAATTGGAGTGCTCGTCCACTCTGTCATGTCAATCATGGGACAAGAACCGTAATTAGTCTAGACAGAATCCAGCTTGGGAACCATGCGCTGCATCCTTGACGCTCTGGTTTCGTCAGCTCCTGCCCTACTCAGAGTTTTCATCGATTTCTTCCGGATCAGTTGGAGTGTCGACGTCAACTCTTCAGTTTACGCTTTCTTACCAGTTGAACTTCAGAATCTAACCTGTGTGAGTCGTAGAAACTCCAGCAGCTTTCGTTCCCAGCAAATATCGGCTTATGTCAATTTGTCATTACATCCACCCAATCACAACCTATTTCATATAGCCAAATACGCGGCAGTGCCAACCGACCAAATAGTTCCAATATCCGAACTTTTATTTTTTTTTCTACCGCTGGTTAACAGGTGGCCTCGCATATTTACATTCGCTCCCTGCCTTCCCTCGGAAGGTTCCGTTTAGCTATTGATAAAAGGATAAAGGATAAAGCATTTGCCGTTGATCAATCCCTTTTTGGGATGCGGCACGCATTCTACTTCCATTTGTACATTCGTAGTGGCGTTTGAATGCGATGGCCTATACAATGACTTGCGGGGGCCAGCCGATGTACAAGTCAGTGTTTTTATCCTCCCAGACAAGTCTGGTACCAATTAACCGACCCCGGAGGGATGGAAGGCTTGGTTGGCCCGGGCGACTCACGACCCAGGATTTGATCCCGGACCGCTCGCGTGGTAAGCGCGCCACTTGCACTACACCACTTCCGCCCCTTTTTTCAAATATTTTTATCTTCCCTCCTCTCTGGCGAGGAGTTCCTTTTACGTGACTCCCATCGTTGATGGCCGCCCTCAGCTGGCCATTGCTTGACACACTTCCTATTCATAAATGATGCGTGGAAAAAACTTTTTGAATAGCTTTTTTGGGTGATAGGTCCTCACTCTGAACTATCCAAAAGCTATCAAAAAATTCAACGCATCATTTACGCCCCGATTTTTTTTCCATTCACCCGCTGCCAAGCGCGAAGTATGGCACTTGCCGAAAATCACAACTCTATCTCCTCGTTGAAGTCTCAGCGACCCATAATGAAATACACGTGCCGGAATGCACAACATAGCAGTACTAAATATTCCAGTACTAATATTTATTTTGTGAACGAAAATTTGAAAGCCGCCTCTTTCATTGGAAGATAACGGAGACTGATTTTACTAGCACCTCGCTAGAGAGGCCTCTCACTTTAGGATAATTTATCTGGAGAAGACAAAACGTGGAGCTTCTCTGCGGGGCCAGCAGGATGCTGGGCTGAGGCACCCATTTCCAACAATTGTTCTATTTTCAGCGGGACGCGTAAAGGCGTGTAATCACAAAAAAATCATTTTTCATTTTTTTTTCTGTTTTTGGAACCACATTTGTTGAAACTCTAACCGAATGCCTCCACCTGAATCCAACAATGAGCTGTTCATCACCCCATAAATTATTTGTGAATGCTTCCTATCCCTTCATCCCAAACTGCATGAGCACTGTGGATCTCTTGATCCTTTAAATTTTTGATCCGCTCATTTACTTGGGGGATAAAGCTCAAATGCACTCACTGTCCGACAGTATAGCAGTGATTGGGCATACGGCACGGATTCGATTTATACGAGGCTTGTAGGTACGATCACTATAAGCGATGGCGGTTCACCACCATTTTTAAGATCACCTTTTGTCTCACATACGGATTACGGTAGGATGACGGTGCGGCAACATACCCGCCATTTTGGCTATGATTCAAATTTTCAGGTGAAGCTTATCTTTACATACTGTTTGGACGAAAGGGGGAATTATTAGGTACCGGATATCTTAGTGTCGCTTTTCTGAGTTCAGGAAGTTTTGGGGCCGATTACTATGGAAAATCAATATCTCAGAAAGTCCTTTTTGCTCATTAATACTGCGAAATATGTTGCTTATTGTTTTCTATTGTTGGTTCACAATTTAACTTTCCCCCAATTTTTATACTTTTTTTTTGAAAATTCCTGGGTCCAGTGTGCAAATTCGCATGTGTGTACCAAATGCTTCAAAATTCTTGCTGAGAGCTACAACTTCCGCCCACCAAACCAACATTGCATTTGTTGGAGGGAATACTACCATTTAAAATGCTCATCGGTTTTTCACAGTTTTCTCAAAGACAGTGAAGTCTTTGAAGTGATGCCCGCAATCGTCGTCAAAAAGGTGGCCCTAGTTAAATCAGTCGAGACGGGGCTGCACCAGTCTTGTGCTGAAATGGTAGGACACCTTAGCAGTGACTGATCGATGATGCACAACGCTTTTAACGAAGTTGATTGCACAAGAAATTCTAATAAATGTGCTCATCTGCTACTCACGTGTGCTCAAAAAGGGTGCGTTTTTGACCCTATGTGGCAAAAAAGACTCCGGGAAAAATTGTCCAGTTGAGCTGGTAAGTTTAACTTTTCCACCATACAGTGCAGACCCTACTCTAACTAACTGTACTTCTTTTGTCCAGGCCTAACTTTTTAGCAAGTGAGAGGGATGATTTGTCAGATGATGTCAAAACCGACCTACCTCTCTTTTTCGACTCAAAAAATTCCTAGCTTTAATCGTACGAGGTTTCCACTCATACTGGTAAATGGGAAAGGGCTAATGAGTCATTCGATGAATATGCCGTTTCACTCCCCGGATTTTGAATTAAAATATTGGTGGTCCGAAACTCGTGGTGAAAAAACGACACTAAGATATCCGGTACCTAGAAAACTTTCATGTTTCGAATTTTTTTCTTATTTTTTTGGGTGCCCAGGGAATTTCGATATTTTTTATTAAGTGGGAAATAAATATGTGTTGAATGTCGTCAGATTGGTCTAGGCCACTCCATGTGTGGCAAGAGTGTCTTCAGCGATGAATGCCTTGGTGCCCTGACTGCAGCTCAGCCAACCTCCCACCGAGGAGCGGCTGGTTGTAGAGCAGAACAGTGTGTAGGCGGACGAGAGCTGTTGCTGCTGCCGCTGCTGCTTGCTGAGCCAGCCAGCCCGCCAAGCGAACCGGGTCGGGTGCAGTGTCGACGGGTGGTTGGGTTGTGGTGTTGGTGGTGCTGATGCCGCAGCCGGTGCTTGAGGCTGAGCGCAGAGCGGCGAGGGTGGTCGCGATGGCCACCACATCGAGGGGGGCGGGCGGACACGGACGGGCGGGTGCAGCGCGGCAGCGGCAACGGCGGTCCCCCGCGCTCGAATTATCGGAAATCCATCGCTCGTGTGTGCGGCACGCTGCTGTCGTCGTCGCGGTCGTCGTCGTCCATCGTCATCGTGTATGAGCTGCACAATTCCATTTGCTAAGGTGAGCTGCACCAGCTGCTCCAGCTACCGGCAATGTTTTTGTGGAATGAGAGCTGAAGCTGAACGAGGCCAAGCTCAAACTTTAACCCCCACCCAAAGCGGGTATTGACCCGCCTACGTAAATAGAGAAAGCTATCACCGTAAAGGAAACGCAGCATGAGCCCTTGAGGTCGAACCAGCCAGGCTACAGTACTTCCACCACTTACCATCGAGCAGTACAGTAACAATGACTTCCCCGTGGCTATATGTACTGCTATTGAAACGGGTATTTTTAGGGAAAATCAAAAACGTCGAATTTCGTCTTTTCCCCAGCCTAATTGAAAAAAATTTCAAATTTTGTTATTTTTCTATTTCAGTTGGACACTTTAAGCCGTCGTCTACAGGAAAGCGTACAACTTCGAACACATAAATACTTCCGGGTTGCCGTACCACAAGCGCTTACCGGGCAATCGCTGGTTGCCCTTGTGGGAGAAAAGGTAAGCTTTGCTGCAGCTTTTGTTCCAGGTACTGCTCGGGCCCTGCCAACCACTTGATTATGGTATTTTTGTGCTGGTTTCAATTTTTTTAAACGTATGAATAACTTTTGGCAATGTATATGGCCCCAATCCTAACTGATAGTATTCATGAATTTTTGAATTAAGTAAGGTTTTTGTAAAAAAAATAGTTCCGGGGTTCTGTCCGGGAGATTAATAGTTAGCTGGAGACAGCATAATTATTTCAAACTAAGTTAGTGCTTGCCATACCTCTATGCTTCGTGGCTGTTATTTTTGTACGAACTAATCGATATATTGATTACTCAGTTTTATCACAGTAATCCTGAAAAACGAAATAGCAATTATTTATTATACGCGATTTTTTCCGGCTCCAGCCAGCCGGCTGTCATTTGCGCCGAGTTGACATGAAGCTGGTGTGTGTAAATATCGATTGCACTGCCTCACCGACAATCCGCTCCAATTTAATCGATTTCAATCGATTCAGGGCTATGCCGAAGATGAAGCTGAAGCTGTACATTTGGCCACACTTCTACTACAACACGGCTATCTATTCCCGGTTATTGAACCGGCTTTAACTGTACGCGATGATGGAACCCTTTATCGATTACAACGACCGTATTTTTGGCCATCACATGCCACTCAAACAGACAATGTGGAGTACGGTAAGCCAAGGGGGGGGGGGGGGGGGGGGGGGGGGGGGGGGGGGGGGGGGGGGGGGGGGGGAATAATTATAGATGAGAGTGATCAATCTGATAAATAACGCTCTTCTCAATTGATACTTTATCTGCAACGGGAACTTCTCGGCTATTTCCATGTTTTTGGTTTCCTCCATTTCTCACTGGAGAAAAATTATGCTATTGTCTTTTTGGCACTTTAAATATCTCCAATAAATCTCATATTTTGATTCTTTCTGATAATTCTACAGTTTATTATAAGTCAGTCTGCACCTATATGGAAACGATTCCTCTTTTCGAATTTCTTGCTTCTTTACCATTTCAAATTCTAGTTCAGATATTACAGAACGTTTCACAAAATTCAATCCAAAACCCATACTAATTAAAATAGGCATTAAAAAAATTCCATGGGGGGGCAAATCCATAGCTAATCCAAAAATAGGCGTGGTAATATTTGATGCAGTATTTTTTACGGGCCAATACATAGGCCATGAGATAAAATCAAAATTGTTCTTTTCTATGCGTAAAGTGTAATCAATCTGCGTAATTCTTGGTGTGCGCCATGAATTCTATTTTGGGTTTCGAAAGAGTTTGAATGCTTATTTTTCTGTCGTTTTGTTTTCGAATGCTCCGATTGATTTGATTTTGTATGCGTGATTTTAGAGAGGGCCACAGTGGTTTTGGAAATGACAACAGCACTTAGCTGCTCGCAGCGTAAGAACCAGTAATAGCACTAGCAGTACCAAACACACTACCGTGGTGGAAAATAGTGTATTTATGGCATTTCCTAGACCTCTCTTTTGGGAACAAAAGCAAGCAGTAACGCTACTCTCTAATGTCCCTTAGGAGTCTTAAACTGTCGTTTTTTTGTTGGTCCCTCCTCTTGTTGTATGTTGAGCGCATATTTTTACACTTAACGTACTAGTTTTGAGGCCAGGGATATCATTTGTACCTAACAAAAAAAACGGAGAAAAATATTGCGTCTGGCTTTTTGTACCGCGCTTCTGCACAGTCAGCAGCCCTTCGATGCGAACACGGCTTCTTTTTGAAGTAGCACCTCATCATGGCTTTGTGATTTGTGCAGTTATATCTCAAAGGCTGAATACTACCTGCACGAAAAAAATTTGAATATTGAATGAGAGCGAGTCTGACAGCTTGGGCTGAAAAAAAATTCCGAGAAACTACTAAGTAAAATTTAGAATTTTCGGAATAGCCGAAAGTGAGTAATAATCTAAATTTATTTTGCACTATTTTTTGTGATTTGCTTCGCACAAATATTATATTATTTCTCATTTTCTGCTTTGGTAGCAGCGTTTTACACTGACTAAACCTCAGTAATTCTTGACACCTACCTTGTTTAATTTTATGACAGAGGTGATATAGTGGCACTAATTAGACGGGCTCTTGGGGATCAAATCCGGTGTCTCCTAACTCTTCCCAAGTAGCCAACGCTTTCAGGCCCTTTGTAATCGCCTAAGTGCGTGTCAGACCGTCTAGAAAATAAAATTTTAGCCACGTCGCCCTGTACTTAAGCTGAACCAACAAGCTCATTTTGTAGCTCCACACTCATTTTGAAGACGTAGCCTCATTTCAAATGTCACCACAATTCTGAACAGAGAACGATTGCGTGGCGCATCTCAAGAAAGAACTATTTAGCCCCAAATGCTTCATATTTTATCCTTCCCTTGTTTTTTTTTTTTTTGCGCTGCAGGTTTCAATCTGAGTGTTCGTTTGTAGCGCAGTATAACTGCGTGAAGTGCTGGAAAAATTATCTGAAAAAAGTAAATTGTATAATTAATATCCTACTTGATATATTTCCATTATAATAAATCGCATTAAATCATTGCGATTAAAAACATGGTATTTTAACAAATGGGTCCTCATGTATGCTATACGAAGTTATTACGGATAAAAATTGTTTCCTGCTTTCTACAGCTTTTATTCGCTGTTTTCCGGACATTTTCTTGTTCATGTCATTCCTCCCTTATTGATTGACTTAATCCAATTTTTCGCTGACTAAAAACTAGTTTAACTCACAATCCGAAGCAATCATTATTTTTCGAACTCGCGTCATAACCCAAATTCGAAGTCGTTTATTCTCTATTTCTCTGATCTGTGCCTATTTTTTTCCCCTCAATTTTCTTCCCTGAAGAGTGGATTTCTATAGTAATCGCTGGTCTGAGCTCTTACCACTTTTACCTAACCATGGCTATGTTTGGCCCAATAGATGGTCCATAAGGAGCCAACGATGACAAGTCAACCAGTAGTTAGATTGAAAGAGCTACAGCCGATCGTCGTTGTCGGTTTCAACTCGTCTCTGGGCTCTCCGGGGCCGGCTTCTCTGCCTCTGTCGCTGCCCGTCCGCGTGCCCCGAATGCGGTCTGCTTGTTAGCGGCACCGCTCTGATCAATAGTATGCCAGCACTGCTCTGCTGCCCCCCCCCCACAGCTCGCTCCAACCAGCCTCGGGCCAGCCTCGGGGGCTGCCAGCCGGCTAGACACTCGCAGCCGCACAGCCAGCTTTCGAGGATAGTTTAATTTACACACATGCACACAGGTTGACATCTACTACTAAACTGAAAGGGCTACACAATCAGTTCATTGTGAACTGTAAAGGGTTACGCAGGAGGGTCAACCATCCATCAAGCGATCCAAGGAGGAGGGGAGAAGGTGGTAATTTTGATTCCCAGAAGAGATAAGTTTTTGGAAAGTGGAAAATTCTTTTCAATGTACGATGAGATTTGGAGAACTTTGAAATATTTGCCGTTTCAGCAGTTCTATATATTCAAGCTAGGAGCGAGCGAATCTGTTGGAATTGGAAAATTCGTTGGTCGAATTTTGTTCTTATCAAGAAAGCTAATGCTAACCTTATCCCTCCTCAGTGGTGCCTCACTAACTTGGAAACTGGATTTTTTGTTGATTTACTGTGTGCACCCTAATTACCCAAAAATTGCAAGAAAAAATGACAAGGGCGTGGCTCATCCTGTTAGTAGAAAGGAAATTTATCTGTGGAACCAAAGTTGATCAATATTTTTTCTTTACAAAAGGTGGTAAAAGAAAGTTTTTGGGAAATGAGAAAGTTTTTGCCGCAAATTCGGAAAACTTTTTATTTTTTGTTGTTTCACATGTTGTATATATATTTTCCTATCCCTTCATCACGATTAGCGCACTTCGACACATTTGACAATTCTGTAAATTTCTCGAGCCCCGTCATAACCATAGGATTTGTAGGGGGGGGGGCTGAAACGACCCCGCCCCATTCCCAACCACCTCATCCTCATCGTCATCCCATGGCTGTTGCTGTAATATTTGTTACTAACGATAAGACTAACCGACACACTCATACTCCTACCAGTTTTCCTTTCTCTTCTGAACGACGAGCAGAGAGGGGGAATTCATCTGATAAGCAACAAATCCTCTTATTTTGACCTCCTTTTTCGAGGTTTTCCCAAAATTACGAGAAGCAAGTTTAGAAGAGGTGAATATCGGTTGAGGATTCCTCAACGGCACGTCGAGGATTTCGCCTGATCAGTTACGATCTCTCGCGCGGACATTCACACTCGCCATGCGCGAGCCGTCTGTGCTCTCCGCGCGGACGTTCACTCTCGGCACTACTCTCGCACAGTACAGAGCCATGGTCGAGGAATTCCTCGACCGCTTCACCCTAGCTTAAAATGCCCCCCCCCCGCTTCAACAGCGCTACTACGACCCTTCGACTTGCAAAATCACGATCCCCTTCCAAGATTTGACCGTCACCAACTCCAAGCACGAACTCCTATTCTTCGTGGGAGAAGAAGGGCCCTCTTCTTTTCTCGACAGAATGTGAATGTTTTCTGCCAAAAATGATTAGCCGGTTGCAGTTGTATTCTATCAGTTGTCACTAATTACAACTATCATTTACCAACTATCAGCTATCACTATGAACCACTAGTAACCAGATTTACTTGGAGGCCGTCGTCACTTGTGGTGTGTGGTCTGCACTCGACGCGCATCTGGTTTTCGGAAGAAGAGGGCCTTTTCTGAGAATTGGGCGTATTTTTTTTTACAATTTTCAGGGGAACGGCTTGAGAAAAGCAAAATGATGTAATGTGTTGAAGAAGTTCAGAGCTTTTCTGCCTTAGGGTTTGCATGTGAGACCCTAGGGGGGGGTTGGTTGATTCTCGGAAGAGGACGAATGCAACGTTTGATGTTGATTGCTCGAACATACAAATGAATCCACGAGTTTGAATGAAAGTCGAATGCATGGGGTCATCCCAAAGGAGTGAATCATCTGAAGCTAGGCGGGTTCGATACGCCAGCGTACGATACTCACCTTCTGATGAAGCTTACTCGATGGCCTGAATGGTCAAAAGCTGTTTCGGCTCGCGTACAAGGCATTTCAGTCTGACCACTCAGAATAGAAGCCAAGCCTTTTCCAGTTGACGGAGTGACGAGTTTTCCGAAGAAATCAGGCTAGAGCAGGACCTTGATGAACAAGCACCTATGCAGTCGTCAAAATGGCCATGAAGTACTTCGCTTCTGGCTCATAGCCAATTAAAGGAAGCGATTACGATTCGGAAGGGCCGCATCGGGAGAGTATATGCGCCACACGAAGCAGTTACTTGGCTGCCAAGGAAGCGAAGTGTGGCGCTTTCACGACGAAAGGTGCCCTGGTTGCTGAGCAGGACTTCCGAAAGCACTCCGCCCCGAAAGCGTTACGCCCACTAGTTCAGTTGGTGACTTGGGCGAGCTGTTTGCTGTTGGCTTTTCATTTTGGAAGATCATTTCCCTTTAGCGGCTGTATCTTCCAACTTGCCCATGTAATGCCTTATCAATCAAAACACTATGCTTGTTGGCATGATGGCGGCTATCGGGGTTAACACGTCCGAACAACTTCTTTCTTTGTCACCCTCATCCATTGCCGAAAATGAACGGGCATTTAAGAAGAGTTACCACTGCGTGTTCTTGGCGGATTTCTCTATCATTGAGCACCCCCACGTCCCTCTGAACCCCTCCAGAATTTATCGTAATCGCTGCCTCTAATAATCGACGGGTTCCATCATATCAATAATTGATTCCCATAACCAACAGAACCACGCACTGCCCTCTAACCCTTTCAGAATCTATCATAATCGCTGCCTCTAATGATCATCAGGTTCCATCACATCAATAAATTGATTCCCATAACCAACATTCAAAAACCCGTCAAAATATTCCCACACCGATTCAATATTTGTATAGCTTATTCAAACGATTACTGTGGGATAACGACACGAATATTGCCATCGTTTGAATTTTTGTGAAGCACGGGTTCCGCCGATGTGGGACCAGGGGAAAGGAGAAGGGAGACGAGGGCAACTGATAGTCGGAATTAGGATTGCGTATAAGCTAATGATCCATAGAATCTTAAAAATAAAGTGTAAGAATGAATAAGTTTTGCCGATGACGGGGGCTTTTGTTCCACCACCCTCTCCCCTCCCCTCCAAGTCTGGTAGCAAATAAATGACCCCCGAAAGATGGAAGGTTCGGTTGGCCCGGGCCAAAAAGGTAGATTTGACCCCAATACCATGCGTTTGTTGAGCAGCGCCACTTTCCATTGCTCTACCCTCGTTCTTTGAAAAGATAACTGTGGCAAAATATTCCTAAATTTATTGTTTATCTTCATTATATATCACCTGGTACACAACATGGAGTGTAAATCTAATAACAACTTTGTATTTTATACTGAAATATCCTTATTTATTTATATTATTTTATAACAATAAGTTAATTTTATTATAATTTAATTCACAATTTTATTATCGAAAAACTGACTAAGTTGAATATTAATTTTATTCGTTTTTTTTTATAAATTAGTATTCACTTACCACCTGAGGCAAAGTTTTTGATCATTGATTTTTTCAGCAATCTACCTCAACAAACGTTTACTCAGGAATGAACAGAAGCACGGGCTAGAAGAAGATGAAGCCGAATCATATAACAGGTAGGAGTGCTAGTTCAATCAATAGACCTAATCGATTTAAACACCGATTTTCGATCAATAAAATCGATTCGTTTCAGATTCGCCGAATTATTAGGCCATATGTGGGGATTTATTACACAACAAGCGGAAATGCAATTGAAACATCAGAAAGAGAAAAAGAAAGCAGATAAAGTGAGTTTCTTATTGATTTTTCCATGAATATTCCAGAAGACAGAGAAAAATAAAAAGGTAGGTTGTGAGGCAATGCTTAGCTCCTCTTTGACATATGCATATGCCATGCACTCGACGCACGGTCAAAATTATATTGGATCCTGAAATTGTGCCTAGCTTATACAATATTTTCTTGAAATCGATTTTGAAAGTACAGAGAAAGTTTGCTGTGGGTTCTGTTTCCCAACGGAAGACCTTTCGTAATTGCAGACTCAGCGGCTCATTTGGCGCTGAGTCTGCAATTACGACAGGTCTTCCGGTCGTAATTATTATTATTAAAAATTTATATCACGTGTGCTTTTTATCTTTTTTCTACTCCTAATGCTGCCTGATGCCAA